CATGGGAACTCTGTGCTCACAGATTCCGGGTGCTCACTTTAAAAGATGTCCAAATAAGACCTTTCTGTGGGCTCCTGTGGTCGCCTAGTAACAGATAAATTTGGGGGCATCACTGTTTGGGGGCACTCGTTTTGAGCACACTGGCCTCTCTGCAGCATGGAGGGCTGCCGGAGGGAGCTTTGAGGATGGGGGAGAAGCCAGGGAATGGGGCACCCTGGGGTGTCCAGGAGGCAGGGGCGCTGGCTGGTGGGCGGCTGCCACTTTGTCTGTCATCTGCACGGGACACATCTGCAGCTCTTCCTGGTCCCGTCACACCGTCTCAGGGTCAGCAGGGACCCAGGCAGGCACCTAGTTCAGTCCTTGGGGGTTTCTCTACCTTCAGGGAGGTTCGGGCCTCTGGGCAGCCTTGGAGTCTACTCCCTCTGCCTCTGATCTGCATGGAATGTCCCCTCCCTGTTCTCAGAGCAAGCCTTCCCAGGCTTCTGTGCACCTTTAGCCTCTGTGCACAGCATCAGAAGGGTGGGCTGGGCGCGGTCAGCTGGTGAGCACACCCCCACATGGACAGGCTTCTGCCGGTGCTCAGCTCCTACGGGATGGGAGGGTGAGTCAAGGGTTAACGGCAGCTGGCAGCTGCAGGGAGCTGCAGCAGTGGCTGCTTCTGGTGGCCCCTCTGGGACCAGGGCAGGAGACCATCCAGGAGTGGAGATGGAGCCGCCAGGCTCCGCCCACCTTCTCTGGTGCACACGAGGACAAGTCCCAGCTGTGGCCTTACAAGGTCTCGTGGAGCCTGTGGCTGCTGAACTGGGGTGGAGTGGGCGGGCCGGAACAACTCTCCTAAAGCACAATACGCGTCACCACGGGGAAAATACCAGCACAGGAGCCAGCCGTCCCTATTCCCCTAGGTCCTCACACTGTGTAAGGATGCCTGAGGACACCAGCAGCACACGGGTCCCCTTCCCCTGCGCTGCCTTGCAGCCCGATGCTGGGGCCTGCGTCACTCCACACTGCTGTTCCTCCCCTTGCAGCCCTGCACCTTCAGGCTTTCCAGGGTCCAGACACCTCCAGGGGAGGACAGGGAGGACCCTGAGTCCAGCCTTTGCTCACCCCAGGGGGTGCTGCCTCCAGGTGGACAGGACAAGGAGCCTGGCATGAGAAGGGCCCAGTGCTCTGGCTAAGGCCCCCTTGTCGGTGCTGGGCTGCCCACTGGGTCTGCGGCCAGTGGTTTTCTGAGTTACTGGTCAGTGCTGCACAGTCCGTCAGGAGCTCGGAGCTTCCCGGCCATCACCCATCTCAGGAGCATCTGCCTCAGCTTCCCCACAACTGCCGTGTCTCCCTCACGTCCTTTGAAAACAGTCACAGAGTCTCTCTGTGTCCTTCTGTCCCCCCTGTGTCCCTCTCTCCCCACCCTCTCTGCCGCTCTTGCTTCTTTACTAAACAACAGATATTCACTAAAAGCCTATAATGTGCAGTGTCGTGTTGGGTGGGTAGGGAGACTGGGGAACGGCTGTTGAAAGGACCTTCCTGTCTAGTGGGGCAGATGGTCAATTCACTCACCCCTCATGTATCAGGAAATGCTTATCAGGTGTGTCATACATGCCAGCCACCGCTGAATGTTAAATGTATAATATAGAATGATAAAGCAGAGGGTATTAAATATAGAATGATAGAATAGAAAAAGTCCCTGCCCTCAGGAGCAGAGTGCAGCTAGGCCATCCACACGCAGATGTCAGTGTGGTGAAGGCAGGGATGGGGCGGGCTGGGGGCATCATGTGGGAACCCAGCGGCAGGGAAGGGACAGCAGGAAGGGTGTTGCAGGAGAGGGAACAGCAGATGCACAGTTAGTGAGGTGGGCAGGAGCCTGAAGAGGCAGAGACAGCTGAGCCGGATGAGCCACAAGGGATGGAGAGGCCACCTCAAGCTGAGTCAGGAAGGGCATCACCCAGGAGGGACATGTCAGGAGACCTTGAAGGATGACTGTGGTTCAGTGGAGCGGTGGGGTCGGCGTCAGCAGCTTATGCAGTAGCAGGAAGTTCTGACATAGCAAGTGTGCTCGGGGGAGTTGGGTGCTGGGGGAAATTAGACCTTAGAGCCTGCGGGGGTGGGAGGGGGCGGGAAGGATAGCAGGAGATGTAGCTAGGACGTTCCACTGGGACCACTTTGATGGAGGATCTTGTATCTGAAAAGCATTTGAACTTTATGGCAAGGGCGTGAGTGAGGGGCCGGCACAGGTTTTTAACAGAGGAAGGCTGATCATCTAGCTCTGGTGGCCGCATGGGGACATGCTACGTCCTTCCCAAAGTGGAAGCCCTTTGTTCCTCTGATTCCCTTTTTGGGAATTTATCTCTAAGGCCAGAGTCAAGGGCATGAAGATGGGTGAGTAGCAGAGCTGCTTAAATACTCAGAACGTGGAAGCGTGGTGTGTGCACCGTGAGGATGAAGGTGGGACATTCATTCATCTGCTGATGTGGAAACTGTGTGTGACACAGGAGGTGGAAACCGTCCAGTGTTGCTCTCCCACTTCTCTGAACCCAGACGCATACATGGGAAGTTCCTGGAGTGCAGCATGGTGCACGGGGGTGGGGCGGGATGATGTGAGTTTTATAGGTTTTTCTTCTGATCTTTTGAAAAAGGAACTTTTTTTTTTTTTTTTTTTTTTTGTATAAGGAAACCCCTCAGATTATGGCCACAGGGATACTCAGGAAGAGGAGCTGGAATCCCAGGGTTGGCACTGAAGGAGGAAGGGAGATGTGGCCTGACGTCCGGGCTTCTGCCCTGGAGCCCCAGCTAAGGGTGTCACCCCCAGGGTGAGAGCAGCAGAGGAGAGAGAGGCTCCAGGCAGAGGACAAGGTTGTAGTCTCAGTGTGTCGAGTCTGAGCTACCTGGGGACACTCAGAGACGGCCACAGACCTTACAGTGTCTTCTGGAGAGAGTTGGCCCATTTGGGAGGTGGATTCTGTTTATTTTGATGGGATGCTTGGATGCATTCCCTGGCGTGGGAGCCAGACTAGGGAAAGGACAGGAAACTCCACTGCACAGAGCCGCCTGGGAGCAACCAGAGTTAGGATTAGAATGGGGAGAGGAAGGGGAATGGCCAGGTCTCCCAGGCCACCAGTGGGCACAAGCCTGTCCTTTGCTAGTCCCTCCTCCTGGAAGAACCAGGAAGGGACAACTGTCCTTGGGGTGAGAGGATGGGTTCCATGAAATCCGTTCCTTGCTCTGTTCCCTGGGGGTGTGGGAGTCACCAAGTGCCTTCTTCAAGAATGTCACAGGACATGGGTCCATTCATTGTGCATGGGATGTGCATGTGAGCGGCCAGTCGAATGCTGGGGCATGTGTGTGAGCGGCCAGTCGGAGGGTGGGATGTGCCTGTGAGCGGCCAGTCTGACACTGGGACGTGTGTGTGAGCGGCCAGTTGGACACTGGGACGTGCATGTGAGGGGCCAGTCGGACGCAGGGGTATGAGTGTGAGCAGCTGGATTCAGGACAGAACAGGAGTCTGAGGGGTGAGGAGGAGGGAAGATTCAGAAGGGAACTGGTGCAAACATCATGCTTGCGTCACTAGCTGGAGAGGTAGAAGGTCTAAACCATCTGAGCCTGGCCAGTGACACTGGGCCACAGGGTCTAAACTCTGGGAAAGGCCTACAGAGTGTCTCCGAGCAGCAGTGCAGCCCCTTGGCACACTTTCTGGAAATCGCTTCTTGAGACTCTACCGCCCTCCACCTTTACAGCATCAGCTGAGCGCCTGGCCCCGTTTGAAGTGCTTTTCATCCAGATCCTGACGCCATCCTCGTGACAGCCTGGAGGAGCAGGTTCTGTTATTGCTCCAGTTGCGCAGAGGGGATAACCTGGGCACAGTGGGTCAGAGCAAGAGAGAAAACGGTGGGGCTGCCTGCATAGGCCCTGGGTGCCCTGGGAGTCAGCGACGGACCCAGCCTGGGTGTGACGGCCAGTGCGCCCAGCCACGTAAGAAGGTGCCAGGTGTTGCTGTCATGGCCATCATGCAATGGAAGTTCCTGGCCTCACAGACTCAGTCTCTAAATCTCTAACAGCACTGTTTGGGGAAGATGGTGTTTGTTCATGACATTTGGTAGACTATTCTAGAAACTCTAGTCTCTGCATCTAGAGTACTTCTGTTTTGGGGGCCACGTGGCTTCTTTCTCCTCTCCAAGCATCTGACTTTGGAGCACCCCTTCCCTTGAGCAGGTGCCCCAAGACTCACCTGTCTCACCTCTTGGCTCTGCTCACACCCTCCCTTCTCTGCTTCTCTCCAGAACATCCTTTGAATCTCTCAAGCAGCCCAAATCCTTCGGGCTCGTCTTCAACTTCCTCTTTCTCTGTAAAGCCTCACGTCACTCTGGTCCACAAGGGTTTCGTAACCTTTTCAGTTCCTGTGCTATTCTGTATTTGTACCTTTAATTTTATAATGCATTAAATGCTCATTCATCCCTTCTCCCTACACCTGTGTGCCACTAGGTGCTATGAAAGTGAAGGGACCCACCTATGATGAGCTCACGGCCTCGTCAGGGGAAGAGACACAGGGTAGTCACTACTGCGACATGCACTTTGTGATAGGACAGTGACAGCCCAGGGGAGTGGACCATTAGCTCTCATTAGAGAGGTTAGAACAAGTTCAAATAGAGAATTTAGCACACTACTCTGGGTCTTGAAGAAAGGGGCTTGTCAGGTGCCAGATGGGGTGGTAGGGAGAAGACAGGAGGGAAGAACATTTCAGGCCGAGAGAATAGTGATGGTGATGAAATGGAGGCCCACACACCATGGCTGTGGCAACATGGAACATTTTTTATATTAAACGCTTATTCATATCTCATGCAACTGTTAACATTTTTATGCCATTTTGATCCCCCAGCTAGGTGATAAGTTCCTTGACGTTTACCAAGTTCTTTGCACAGAGGAGACGCTGAGATTCCTCCGGGTGGGCATTTTCTGGGCCAAGGGACAAGAGCATTGATGGGACTGGTCTTGGTTTTGTGCTTGCCTAGACCAAGGATGCCCTCTTCACGATTCTCCACGACCTCCGGCCCCAGGACCATTTCAACATCATTGGATTCTCCAGCCGGATCAGAGTGTGGAAGGACCACGTGATACCAGTCACCCCGGACCACATCAGGGACGGCAAAGTCTACATTCACCACATGTCCCCCACTGGAGGTGAAAACCGTTCCTTCTTTTCACAGGCGCTTTGACATGATCAGAAGCTAATTTTTTGCTAAGAGTCAGGGATCTGAAAGCTGACGCCGGTCCTGGGAAAGGAGGCAGCAGGTGAGAGCGTTCCCAGACGCCTGGGTTTCTCTGAACGCCTGTCCTGAATTCTCCTCTCCCAGGGCCCAGGTTGGTTTGATTATGGTAGAGATACCTGGGAGGTATTTGGAAGCTCCCCTAGTTTATCTTATGGATCCTGTTACAAAACATTTTGTTGTTACAAAAGTGAGGTTGTTTTGCAGATTATCTGGGGGGGAAGAAGTAGAGCCAAATGGATCGTCTGTTGTTCTGAGTGCACCTGGGGCAGCGGCGGGTGGAGCCGCCATGCAGAGCGTGTAGCCCTCTCGGCAAGGCAGCTGCAGAGCCAGCGGAACGTGCGTCCTGGGTGTGGAGTGGGACAGGAGGATGCTGAGCTCTGAGTCACTGCACGCTCGCCTTGGGGAGGGTGCCCAGGGAAGTGGGCAGAATGGTCAGAGAGGAGAGAAAAGGCTGTAAGGACGCTGAGCAGATTTGAGAATCAGAGCAGTGTGTCACCCCGCTGGGCTAGATGCACGTTTCTTCAACTCAAGGCCCGGGGCTTACTGGGACTGTACCTGTGTCGCTGGTACAGTGGGCACAGGAGGGGTGCTCTGTATGGAGAGTTTAGGGGAACTGAGCCTGCCCACTCCTTATCGGTCCTTTTCAGAGACATCATCTCCTGGAGTTGTTGTCTCAGTTAATTCCTCAATAGTTATTTGCAAACAAACAAAATTGTAAGTCTAGTCTTCTCCCATCTGGGATCATATACAGGCAGTCCCCAGGTTACAAATAAGTTAAAGTCTATAGGCTTGTTTTTAAGTTGATTTTGTATGTAAGTTGGAACAGGTGCATTGACCTATTACCTGGAGTAGTCTCCATTCAGAAGTTCAGGTCTTACATCAGCCAGATATAATTCGGGGACTTGCTGTAACTGCCTCCATTTGTAAGTGCTAGTTATACTCAAGTGAGATGTCTGTAACTTGGGGACTGCCCCATTCACAACTTCCCATCCAAGACACAACTCTGATTTCCCAAATGAATTTAATTTGCAACTAGATCTTGTGTGACTGGTACTTTGATTTAAGAAGAGATCTCCTAACAGTCTCTGAAATAGCATCTTCTAGGAACTGTTTTATTGTTTGATGGCAGAAATAGGAGATGAGATTTAATACCATGGCAGTGATCTACAGCAGGAAGCTGGCAGGACTCTGAAGTCCCTGAGGGAAGACATTCCCCTGCAGCTTTCTGCAGGCTGGAGCTCCTGGCGAGGTTTCTGACACATGGTGCTTGCTCAGAGGACAGTTGTAGATGGAAGAATTTACTTTAATGGTGCTGCTCATTAGACAGGGGTGTGCGTGTGTGTTGGGCAGGGTGGTAAACAGCTTCCGGAGACAGCTGCTATGTGTTATGTTTGTCTGGAATCCAAACCTTAGAAACCCCTGGGCTCCCTTTACCTCTGCAGGTGAACGGCAAATGAATCTTCCCTCGTCTAAAACGTGTAGCAGCAGGATTGGGAGCCAGGATTCGAATCTGGCCCTGTCTTCTGCTAATCATTTAACCTCTTATGCCTCAGTTTCCTCATCTGTAAAATGGGATGGCAGTGGAGTTGTTATGAGAATGGAATGAGTTAAAATATTTAAAGTTCTGAGACCCGTCCCAGCAGGTGGGAAGTCCTTTCCATACATCAGATGGGGCTGCTATTTTTAGACATAATTGAGTGATCTCTCTTGCTGGTGCACTGGAGTTCTTTGGTGACAGCTCGTCCCAGTTTTTGAGGGGGTTGGGAGATGCCCTGGATTAGCCTAGGTCTGATTCTAAGCCCTGCGGGGCCTCTGGTATCCGTGCTGTCAGGAAAGCGAATCTGTCCCTTGGTCTTGGCTTGTGTGGTGCGCAAAGAGATTCGGCACCATTGTAAGTAGATTACAGAGAAAACAAACCCCAGCAAGTCCAGGTCCACATGCCCAGAGGCAACGTGAGATTAGACTGGGTCCTGAGAGAGACTACTTAAGGATCCCATGGCCGTGTGAAAAAATACTGTCCCAGCTGTAACTCCCTTCCGTTTGGACTCTGCGGTTTAGTGAGAATTATGAACATTTTTGTCACACTCATTAGGGAAGCTAGGCACCAATGCCAGCGCCCACCTGGTCCGGCCTTCAAAGCCATTTTGGAACTCTTCCTGGAATGGGCCATCAGCGCTGTCATTGTACGAGGTCTGACATTAAGTTCACAAGCTCGTCCTAGAAGTGCCACACACCTCATTGCTGAATATCACTACGGTCACCAGATGGCCAAGTGGGGTCCTGTAGGTGGCCACAGTGATACTCAGCAGAGACGTGTGTAGCACTTCCTAGGAGGAGTTTGTGAACTTAACTGTCTGACCTCATACTCTTTCAGCCAGAAATTCTGGGGAACGTAAAGCAATGTGGGAGATGATTCTGTTCTCGTCAGGGTGGTCATTTTCGCAGGTAAAGTCACTCTCTTCGGGGTGTTGGACGGGGGTGATGTGTAGTTGGCCACAGAGCTCCCCGGATTTACTAAACATCATAACCTCCAACCTTTTAATGGGTGATTTTGAGTATGGACATTTTATCTCAAGCCATTAAAAAAAAAACTAAAGGAAATACATGTTGACATTACATAAGGACTCATGTTTTCGTGGTGGTTGGACAGGGATAGCTTGGGTGCGTGGAGTTCTTAGCTAATCCAGAAACCTCGTCATCGCTGGTGGTTTCAACCTCAGCCACTCACTTATCTCTTGTCCACCAAGCAAATTAATACTTGTTTGGCCCCTTGACACCGGCCCCATCGCTTTAATTGAGTGTGCTCATGATAGGGGCCTCTACAGAAGCAAGGGCAGGCCAGGAGGTGAAGTATTTAATGCCCTCCCCTTTTATGGGGTTCTCCCAACAGAGGTAATGGCAAAAGGCCAGGAAACGAGGAAAGAGCACACAGCAAAGGTCACCGGTCACCAGGTCTCTGACCGGAGCTGTCCAGTCCTGCGCAGCCATGAAGGCGTCTGGCTTCTCCAGCTGCCCTCCCACTCATTCTGTGCCCCTTTCTCTCTTCTGTGACTCTCCCAAATTCCTGTGGCCACCCACTTCCAACACAATCCTGGTCTTTTAAAAACCATTTTCAGAAAAGGGGACAGAAACCATCGATACTAAGGTAGTGAAGATTTCTAAGCCAACGTATCATGTCATACCTTTCAGAGAAGGTTTTTATTACAAGGAGATAATCCTGAGTCATTTATATTTATTTGACAAACATGGGCCAGGTTTCTAGACAGGTGGCATAGCCTGGACTCACCCCATCTGTGCTGGTGGTTTCTTTGCTCCACATCATGCTGGAAGGGGTGAGCGTTGGCTGCGGCCCTGAAGGGGAGCTTGGGGTGATGAGGTCCAAGTACAGATGTGAGCTGAACTGTGTTGGTGTCCTGCAGGCACAGACATCAACGGGGCCCTGCAGCGGGCCATCGGGCTGCTCAACGATTACATGGCCCACGGTGACGTGGACGACCGGAGCGTGTCCCTCATCATCTTCCTGACAGATGGGAAGCCCACCGTCGGGGAGACCCACACCCTCAAGATTCTCAACAATACCAGGGAGGCCGCCCGGGGCCGCATCTGCATCTTCACCATCGGCATCGGGAACGACGTGGACTTCAGGCTGCTGGAGAAGCTGTCGCTGGAGAACTGCGGCCTCACGCGGCGCGTGCTGGAGGAGGAGGACGCCGGCGCACAGCTCATCGGGTCTGCTGGCTGGCTGGGGGCCTGAGGGCTGGGTTCAGTGGGAAACCCATAGAAAGGGATGGTTTGCTGCTTCTGAACCTCACATCTGCCGGAAATGATTACACCTCATTGCGTTGGGAGATGTGATACGTCATAATTTTTGTGTGCAGGATTTTTTTTAGACATTAGAGTATCACTTTGTCTCCCCAACTAGAGCACAGTGGCATCATCACAGCTCACAGCAACCTCAGATTCCTGAGCTCAAGTGATCTTCCTGCCTCAGCCTCCCGAGTAGCTGGGACTATAGGCACCCTCCACAACACTTGGCTAATTTTTTCTGTTTTCTTTTTTAAAGTTTGGTATTTATTTACTTACTTATTTACTTATTTATTTATTTTGAGAAAGAGTCTCACTCTGTTGCCCTTGGTAGAGTGCCATGGCATTATAGCTCACAGCAACCTCAAACTCTTGGGCTCAGGCAATACTCTTGCCTCAGTCTCCCAAGTAGATAGACTACAGGCATCTGCCATGACACTCAGCTGATTGTTTCTTTTTTCTCTTTTGAAAAGTTTGATCTAATTAATTATTTATTTATTTTTGAGACAGAGCCTCATTCTATTGCCCTTGCTAGAGTGCTGTGGCATCCTAGCTCACAGCAACCTAAACCATTTGGGCTTAAGTGATTCTCTTGCCTTAGCCTCCTGAGTAGCTGGGACTATAGGAGCTCACCACAACTCCCAGCTAGTTTTTTGTTTTCTTTTTTTAGTAGAAATGGGGGTCTCGCGATTGATCATGCTGCTCTCCAACTACTGAGCTCAAGCAATCCACCTGCCTTGGCTTCCCAGGGTGCTGGGATCACAGGTGTGAATCTCTGTGCCCAGCCATCAGGACGTGTTTTGAAATCAGGTAGATCAGGGCTCAAATTCTGGCGCTGCTCTGTGACTTTAGCAAGATTTTAAGGCTGCCCCGTCTTAGCTTCCTCGTCTGTGAAATGAGGATTGCGATCAGAGTTCAATGAGAAAACCTACATAAGGCGTCACTGTGGCCAGCTTGTATTAAGCACTCAGGAAGCTCCCATGGTCCCAGTCGCCTTCTGGACATTTCAAGGCATTTTCTAGTGAGCTCACCTTTACCCTGTGAAGTGGGCAAGAGAGAGAGTCCCATTTCCATTTTAACAATTAGTTGAAATATCATATTTTTATTATGAAGCAAAACGGCCAGTTAAAATTGGTGAACAATCAGATTATTTGAGGCGGAGAAGAAAGTGAAACTCAGGCCTCTAACACAGAAGTGGCTTCCAGGGGGCTCATATGACTTCATTGTTCACTTAATGAACTGCCAACTCCACGCTTAATATTACTTGCTTTTAACCTGCATGGTGGTTAGAAGAAAAGTGAGGTTTAGTAGATTTACAGGTGTTTATATCTACGATCAAAGGACATTTATTCACGATAGATTATCTAAATGGACGTCTCTTAGGCGTGCAGTAAAGAGGGCTCCCCAGTGTGGGAACAGCCACCATTCTACCCCCAGGATCTTTTATGAAAGATATAAATTAAAACACAGATTTGCTTCCTGAATATTTTAGATTATTCAAAACTGGATACAAAGAGGGAGAATTTGATGCACTGTGTAACAGAACTGAGATTCAATAAGGTGCTAGAAGCAAAAGCCATTACATGGAAACAAGTCAACTGCTGTCACACCTCTTAGCAACACCCAGATCAACACCTGCCATTCATAAGGAGATGACCACCATTCATTAGGAGATGACCACCATTCATTAGGAGATGACCACTGTTCATTAGGAGATGACCACCGTTCATTAGGAGATGACCACCGTTCATTAGGAGATGACCACCATTCATTAGGAGATGACCACCATTCATTAGAAAATGACTGCCATTCATTAGGAGATGACCACCATTCATTAGGAGATGACCACTGTTCATTAGGAGATGACCACTGTTCATTAGAAGATGACCACCATTCATTAGGAGATGACCACCGTTCATTAGGAGATGACCACCATTCACTAGGAGATGACCACCTGCCAGGCGCTGCCACATGCACTAACCCATGCAGTCCTCATAAGAATCCTAGGGCCTGGGTGTATTAGGTAAAAGGCAAAGGCTGAAATAAGATGGTCATTTGTTTCTTTCTCCTGTGACAGACAGGACAGGCTAGATTCTACTCCACCAAGTCATTCAGAGACCAAGATTTGTTCCATTTTATCATTCTGTTTCCCATAGGTCTTGTCCTTGATTCTACAAGGTTGAAAACAGGTCACTTATCACTTTAATTTTCAGCCTCCAAAAGGAGATAAAAGAAAGCCACTGTGAGTTGTTTTATTTCTAGCAAGTGCTGTGGAAGTTGTGCAGCTCTGTCTGCTCACATCCCACTGGGGGGATATAATCACATAGCTGTATTTAGCCGCAACGGAGCCCAGAATGTATAGTTTGTAGCTGGATGGGCATGTGCACAGTTAGAACTCAATTGTTGTGAAAGAAGGGGAGAATGGACTTGGGGGACAGCTAGTCATCTATTGTTAGCATCCCAGGCTCATAGGTAGGAGACTGAAGTTTAGAGAGGTTAAGTCACATGTCCCCAGACACACAGCAAGGCAATGGTAGAGATGCAAACCTGACCCCACAGCCTGTGCTCTCTGGATCCGTGGAAAGGAGAGTTTAGTTGTCTCCTCACTTAGCGAGAAGCAGCCCAAACCTACCTGCAGGAAAAGTTGATGCGGATGAATGCTGGACCACACAAAAGCGTCAGGTACAATGTGCTGCTTAAAGAGAATCTGGAGTGTTCATTTGCTTCTAAGAAAAATGTCTAAAGAGGTGCTTTGAGAAACGTAAGTATTAAATTTACCAAGATCGATAAGGGCATCTTAAAATTATATCACATGAAGAATAGTTCATAAGACGTCAGATTGGTTAAGCTGCTTGAAAAGGAAGCTTCAAGGAACACAAAGCCTTGTTTTTTTAAGCATCCAAGAGTCTGTCCCGTTGAAGATGGCTAACCTATGCATTGATTTTAGTCTAATACTAATTCTCTATTGCTCCAGAAGCAAAACGGAGGCCAGTGATAGAAATTTCAGGGGAGAAGGTTTTAATCTACTCTAGAGATTATTCTTATCATCAAGGCCAGTTGAGGGCCCAGACACAGTGGTTCACACCTATAATCTCAGTGCTCTGGGAGGCTGAGGAAGGTGGATCACTTGAGGCCAGGAGTTCAAGACCAGCCTTGGCAAGAGTAAGGACCACCCCCCCATCTCTGTTAAAAATAGAAAAACTAGCTGGGCATCGTGGTGGGTGCCTGCAGTCCCAGCTACTCAGGAGGCTGAGACAGGAGGATTACTTGAGCCCAGGAGTTGGAGGCTTCAGCCAGTGAGCTATGATCTCACCACTGCACTCTAGCTTGGGTGGTAGACCCTGTCTCTTAAAAAATAAAAAAGCAGTCGCAAGAGAGGCTGAAAGACTTACTGGAGAGTGAGCTCTCTTTCACCCATAGTGTTCAAGCTACGGCCAAATGACCTCTTAGAAATACAGTGCTGAGTCCCTGTAGGGTTCAATCGCTCCTAAAGTCAGACGTGTGCCCCTGGGTGGCTGCACATCCCTTTAGGACAGGGCACTGATTCTCTCTCTGTGCTGCCGCAGGTTCTATGATGAAATCCGGACTCCTCTCCTCTCTGACATCCGTGTCGATTACCCCCCCAATGCAGTGGCCCACGCCACCAAGACCCTGTTCCCCAACTATTTCAATGGCTCTGAGATCGTCATCGCAGGGAAGCTGGTGGACAGGCAGCTGGATCGGCTGCACGTGGAGGTCACCGCCAGCAACAGCAAGAAATTTGTTGTGCTGAAAACTGATGTGCCCGTGGGGCCCCAGAAGGTGGAGGGTGACCTCCCAGGTAGCCCTGCTCCTGGAGGTGGCAGAGAGGAGGACCCCAACCCCCTGGAGCGCCTCTGGAGCTACCTGTCGGTGAAGGACCTGCTACGGTCCTGGCTGCAGAGTAACGATGGGCCGGAGAAGGAGCGGCTGAGGCAGCGGGCGCAGGCCCTGGCCGTGAGCCGCCGCTTCCTCACCCCCTTCACCTCCCTGAAGCTGAGGAGGCTGGGCCCTCCCTTGGCCAGTCTGGAGGAGGCCCAGGGCGTGTCGGCCGCTGCGGGACCGGAGCCTGTGTTGCAGAGCTTGCGAGGGGCCAGCACGGTGCCAGGTGAGGCACAGCCCCATGTCAGTCACGTGTGAGTGACCCAGGGCCCACGGTGCCCACTCTAACCCCTCCAAGGGCCACTGTGATCTCAGTAGGGATCTGCTTTTTTTTGTCATATTATAACTGTTTGGGTTTTTTTTTTTTTTTGAAACAGAGTCTCACTCTGTTGTCCTGACTAGAGCACAGTGGCACCATCACAGCTCACTGCAGCCTCCAACTCCTGGGCTCCAGTGATCCTCCTGCCTCAAACTCCTGAGTAGCTGGGACTACAGGTGCAGGCCCAACTAATTAAAAAAATATATATATATATTTTTTGTAGATACGGGGTCTCACCGTGTTTACCAGGCCTGTCCTGAACTCCTGAGCACAAGTCATCATCCTGCCTTAGCCTCCCGAGTAGCTGGGACCACCACCATGCCCAGCTAGTTTTGAAATTTTTTGTTGGTCTCACACTCCTGGCCTCAAGCAATCCTCCTGCCTGGGCCTCCCAAAGTGCTGGGATTATAGGCATGAGCCAACTGGCCCAGCCATATTATAATTTTTATAGATAACAACCCTATAGGCAGCTCATGGTCTTCAGAGACTCTTAGATTCTTATATCTTACAAACTGCAGCTCTCTAGAGGAACTGGAAAAGGTGGCCTTTGCCTCAGAAATGGTACCCGGTGCAGTCAGCCCATCAATAAATCATCAGTAAACTGAGTGCCTCCCAGGCATGAGGCAGGACAGAAGTTACAGAGAAGAACGGACGGGTCCTCATCTTGAGTCGCTTCTCTGTGTTTCTAGCATTTCAGAGTTATGTCGTGTGTGTGCTCCATGTTCTTGTCCTGAGAACTCATGTGAAGCACCAGGTTATGGGTCTGTGAGGGGATTGGCCCTTTCTGCACCCGCCACTCAGAATCTGGACAGGAAGCGCAGGCACGGTCAGGTTCAGGGACGTCTCGGTGGCGTGGTGTGGTGGGCAGTGGCAACAAGAATAAGAGGCGGGCAGAGCAGTTAAACCAAGGCAGGGGGCTGTGATCTTGGCAAAACCCCTGTGTGGACACCGGTATGTTTTTATGCATAGCATTTGGTGAGGTTCCTGTTGCAGGGTATTTCAAAGCCTGATGGTTCATGAATTATGCTTGGACGCATGGCCACAGACACTGGATGATAACTAGATCGTTCTCTCTTTCTCTTTTACATTTATGTTATCTGTTTCTATTGTGGCAGAAACCATATAGCATAAAATTTACTGTCTTAACCACTTCTGAGTGTACAGTTTGATACTGTTAAGTCGTGCTGAGTATGTATACAATGTTTAGAGATGAATCTCTAGAACGTTTTCATCTTGCAAACCTGAAACTTTCTGCCTACAAAACAGAAGCCCCTTGGTGTCTCCCACCCCCCATAACTATATCTGAAGTTTGATAGAATATGTCCCCCATTACATACACAGAAAGCAAAGAGAATATTATCTAATTTATAAAGGAATGACGAACCCTGCACATTTTGCACCCCACGTGTGTGTTTAGAGGCCAAGCTCCCTCTTTAAGTCAGGTGATGATTTGGAGAGTTTGTTTTTGATTCTTTACGTGGCTCCTAACGGAGCTGAAAGTCGTGGTGGCTCATCTCAGCCCGCTCTCCGTGTCCCTCTCTCTCCGTCCTCGTTCATGAGTAACAGGGGTGTCTCTTCCTTCTTCTCTTTAGGATCAACGCTCGAGAAGCCATATGAGCCAAGAATTAGAATCTCTAAGACATCAGGTAAAGATGGGTTGTGTGTGAATTGAGACTAAGGGATGTTTAGAAAGTGGACGGCCAGGAATTCCCTGAAGCCAGGTAGAATACCAGTTCCCAGAACAAGATGCTGGGAGCCGGGATGTCACGTCAACACTGTGGGGTAACACAGCCCGAGGAAGCAGGCAGGACCCTCGATAGAGGAGAGACAGGTGGCGGAGGCACCTCTTCATGGTTACTGAGTTTGAAAGACATTCATTTTAGCTATCTGACGGATGCATGGTCTGGGGTTACAGAAATTAAAATATCTGGTGTGACAGGTAGGGTTTTCTTTTTCTTTTTGTTTTCTTTTTTAATCCTTAGCCTTAGAAGGGAAAGACAGATTAAAGAAAAGTCATACAATTTCCTTTTGCCCACTGGGATTAATATAAAAGTCCCGCGGGAAGAGCAGCTGAGAGCTGGGTTTTGTCTCACACCGTGCACACCGTCCTGTGTAAGCCCATGCCATTGCCTTCCCTGCCCTGGGCCTGGCTCTGAGCACTTACACGCAAGGGCTGCATACAGCTGGTGCCCTGAAAGTGTTGGAGACAGCCTGCGGCTTCCCGGGAGAAGGAGAGCGGGAGCCGGCTGGCTGCAGGGGACCGGAAGGGTCCTCACGCAGGCCTCCCTTCCGGGGAGTCGGCAGGGCAGCGAATGTTGGGGAAGCCCACGTGAGTGGGGGTCAGTTGAGGGTTTGGGGTGAGTTCTGTCTTTCCATTTCTTTTCTTTTTAATTTTTTTTTTTTTGCAGTTTTTTTTTTTTTTTTTTGGTGTGCAGCTGGGGCTGGGTTTGAACCCACCACCTCTGGCATATGGGGCCGGTGCCCTACTCCTTTGAACCATAGGCACTGCCCTGTCTTTCCATTTCTTATCCCTCTTGCCTTTCAAAGCTTAGTCGTCTCCACTCAGCCGAAAGGTGGTGAAAGGAGCATTGTACTTGAGTTTGGGAGACCTCAGGTCAAACATTAGCTGTGTGAACATTATCACGCAGTTTCCATGCTGTGGGGAGCTGCTTTCCCCACAGCGCCGCCCCCTCCAGTACTGTCAGGACTGACCAAGTCCTGTGTGAGAGGCAGGAAGGATGATGCACTCAGGAAAAGCACCCGGTAGACGTCCTTCTTTCTCTCTCCCCCTTTTCCCTGTCCTGGAAGTGGATGGAGACCCCCATTTCGTGGTGGATTTCCCCTCGAGCAAACTCACCGTCTGCTTTAACATCGACGGGCAGCCGGGGGACATCCTCAGGCTGGTCTCGGATCACAGGGACTCCGGTAAGTTCTGCTCTGCGGGCAAGTGTTACCTGCCCCTCCTCTGTTCTTGGGATGAGGGTCCAGTTATGTAAGGGCCATGTCATGGATGCTCAGGGAGGACTGTTGACGGCTGAGGGAACTGGACGCTGCTCCCCAACTTGTGCCCAGAAGGACGTGCATCCCAGTGACTGCTTTATGACCAAGCACTGTGTGGCCTGAGCTCACACTTTGTGCCATGTGGCCCTGAGCTCATACCTTGGGCCGTGTGGCCCTGAGCTCACACCTTGGGGGCTGCACGTGTTTGTTTTGCAAAATGAAGACAGTGAAACTCTGCCGGCCTCTCAGGGCCCTTATAAAGGGGGTCCAATGACAGCCACGAAGCTGTTCCGTGAACGTTCAGGTGCTGTGATGTGCTGTCACTGTCATCATGTGCATCGGTCCTGCAGCTGGGATGCTATAGGGACCACAGTCCTAAACTCACCTGTCTTAGTCCCTCAGTGACTCAGGTAAAGTCAGCCACACAGCCTTCTCCCATGGCAGGAGCAGGCACGTCATTGGGGACAGGTCCCTGTGGGTCTGCACAGGCACTGGGTGACAGGAAAACTTTTCGAGTTCAGTGCAGGGAACAATGCTGAGTGACGGCCACGTGGGCAGCCACAAGGCCTGGCTCTGGGAGGCCCTGCTTTGGCACAGACATGCTGGCTTTTCTCAGTGCTGAGGACACCAGTGTCTCAGGGGGTTACAGTGCAGGTGGTCCTCAGCCAGGTGACACGTATAGTATCATTATATAAAGTTTGATCCTGAGTTCCTTTCGCATAATGCTCTCTTGCAGAACTTTCTAGCCTCAGAGCTAAATACATCTCAACTGTGTCTTATTTCAAAGGGCTCAACAGAGAGATGGGGCGTAACTGTATCCCTCCCTAGAAGTCCCCCTCTCCTGGCAACTGTTCCTGTGGTTTCTGTATTTCCCAAGATGTCCACGATGGAAGCTCACCCCTTCAGGCCTAGAGCTGTGAGGCTGAAGAGCCTGGGCTCTGCTCATGCTGGGGTTTCCCTTCTCCCCAACCCCTGCCCCGGGGAAGGTGCTTTTCTATGTGAATGTCTGAGAAGCTATTAGTAAAGATTTACTGGGAAGGTTATTCTCAAAACAGAGAACACAAGAGTTAATTATACAGTAATCTCTTATGCTTACAAATTGCCCCTTTACCTGAGAGCAG